GGGTGGACGATCGTAACATGCCTTCACGCCTTGTTCACTATACAGGGATTAACTACTGGAGTGGGTCTAATCCTGTGAAGTAATCGTGTAGTGCGTGTGAGCACTTTGAATGCAAGATTTTTCCTCCTTAAAAAATGAACCCCCAGTACACCCTGTAGCTAATGTAAATATTTTTACCTGTCGTAATGATTTAAAATTTGTGATTTACTCATTTCCATTGAATGTTGGTTAAATGAATACTGGCATTGACTATAGAGCTCATTTCTTATTTTCGCATTTTGGTAATAATTCCTAAACTGTTGTGCAAGTTATTAATATTTTTTATTAGTAGGACGTGCTTTTGTAAAAAGGAATAATCTTTCAGTAGAATCACTGGATAACATTAATGGACAAATTTTGAAGTTAATGTTTGTTTCTTGTGGGCATTCCTACGCAAAATTTAATCATAATATCATTTATATAAAAAGCATGAAGAATATCTTTCATCTTTGGAATTCGTCTCATTATATGCAACTGGCTAAAATCAAATTTTATTGGAATTTCTACGCTCCACCTTTTTTTAATTTTTTTGCTAAAATTTCTGTGTTCCGATAAAGCGCACATTTCCTATCTCCACATAGTGGCTTGTACATCCACTGGAGCTTCTCTAGAACTTTTGATTTCATTATGGACAGTTTGAGTATGGAAATATCAACACTAATATTTATTTGCATGCATTAGTATTACACACCGGGGTGGGGGGTGGGGGGACTTTATTTAAAATATATATTAGACACATGAGGTACTAAATCAAAAGCTCATTTTCCTACGACGTAAACTAACATTTAATGTGCTTTGGAGTACTGCTTCAAATCCAATATCCATTCTCTTTGCCATGTACCTCTACTTGGAGCGAATTCCAATAATCTCCATCTCTCAAAATGCACTTCCAAGTTCACCTCCCATGGCCATAAGCAGCATAAGAAGTCGCGTAATTTAATGAATCGATCGACAATATCGGAATATCACATTCTTGTACTCATCTAGGCAACCAGAGATCAAATGCTGTAAATTGATCATTGAAATATTTTTTTTCATAATATAGAGTGTATTTTACCCTTTATGAGAAAGTTACAATTTTTTGCTTCTAAATGTTCAAAAAATAGGACTTTGACATTCTACATCAATTTCATACCTCAATTCAATCACTGCCTCTTTCTTTACTGGTCGGTTTCACTGCGTCAAATGCTGATTCAAGTATCCACACGTGCAATCAGCAATCGCTAACAATAGCGACAGAGATATTACAAGTTTGTGGATTGCGATAATGTGGTCTACGCTAGAGCAGGATTCTAGTTAACAGAGAGGGATCGATTTCGAATAGAGAAGACACAACATAAGATTGAAGGAACAATATTGGAGTTCTTTTCACTATGAATGTGCATAGAGTTGCAACCTTATAATCACTTGAAGAATAGTAAAAATCAGTGTAGATTCTAAATAACATGGAAATTAATAAACAGCCCATAGACTGAGGCGTGAGTCTTATGCGGAATGATATGAAGGAAAATCGAAGTGTAATGTCATTAAAGACACTTTTAGTCATAATTTTACTAATTGGATTACGCTTGTGTTTGTAGATATGCTTCCAGAGGAGAAATTGCAATCAATTATGCGGAATGAGTTCTGTGATGAGGATGCGGCGGGTTGGCGATCGTCATGGTTGATGAGCTATGCAGAGTACTATAAAAATCGTGGTGTGGTGCGATCCAAGGGCTACACCCTCTTTGCTGAACGTAATCTCCCCCATATTGATAGCAAAGAGATCAATGGAAGGAATGGTGGTGCAAATAGTATTGCTGTAACCAATAGAAATTCGTCACCCCATCCTGCTATGGCGGCTGTTGGTGACAATTGAAGTGTAAACATACTCGGTTATACTTTTATTCTCTATTTGAGCACCCATTGACTTTCAAGACCGCTCCTATTATGTGGTTTTGCCCAATAAATACTTTCTTTCCACCACCTCTTACCACTTGGTATGACGTATTATGTCTTTTTGCCAAATGAAACCGCGATTTGGGACTTCCGTATTTCGGGACTATAAATAAGTCTGAATAAAAATAAACCGTCACACTTCTGCAAAGTATCAGTTGACCAGACGTTTCGGGATTTATCGTAAAGATCAATCAATGAAAGAGGGATTTAGTTCCATCTCGACTCTCGTTCTTCTGGTGCCTCCCGTTAGCTTTCGAGATCAGTCGGATAGTAAAAGCGCCTTTCTTGGTAGCAGTACTACTTTAAGCTCCTATCATGTGTCTTCAGGTCAGGAGAACGAAAACTCTTTACTTGATCCTCTATGCTAGTCGTGGTCACTCTGAAGTCACATTTTATGCTAATGTCCCCTAAATCAATGACCATGGACTGAAATATACTAATCTTAGAAAAACATAATCAACTATTTTGCTTTTCGACTTCCCTTTGTTCCGTAGACACATCCCTGCTGCTTCGATTTATCTCAAAGGAATTTGGTGCGTAATCTGCACGATTTCATTCAAAGACATGACAGTGTTATATCCAAGGAAACCACATACAGGATGGGACAGAGTTGTATTTCCTGTACACCTAGTCTTCATCATACTTTCCCCCTCCCCCCACCCACACAATCTTTATTTAAATGACTGAATTCATAAAAACGCGTTAGGGTGCATATCCAAACTTGTGTGCTTAACACTCAGGAGATCAGTGCTTACTTGATAGAATACGTCCATATCTTTTTACGAGTTACTTGGCTAATTGAGGCTGAAGAGGTTGATTTCGGTATTTCTATCCCAACTAATGCTGGACTTTCCATCTGTTGCGGTTAGCATAATCGACTAGTGGCCAAAATATATGTTAACGATTAACTTGCTTAGTCATCTAGAGACATTCAACTGTTTAATGTAATGTCATAATTAAAACATTTGATACCAAAAGCATGTTTTCTCTGTTACCCATTTGGACTAGATCACCTAAGAGCTATAGCTCTCCGGATAAATAAATCGCTTTATTTCCGTATTTATCGTGATCACCCTCATTCTAATAGTTATATAGAATAAAATGTGATAAAAATATATGTATACAGTTAAATACAATATATCTATCACGCGTGAAATTAGCTCATCACTTGTACATTCATTTCGTATGAAAACTCTATTTGCACGAGCTTAGGCATAGTAGAATCTGTTGTGTTGTTGGTGGTAGTATAAAAGAGATATTTTATATCCTGTGTACTACTGAAAGTGATATTGAGCGCTTTCGCGGGGTCACGTGATGTCCAACGACTATTTTATCCCAATTGTGTATTGCGCAGTAATCCGTTGCCACGCTGGTTACTAACAGTTGGGGAAAAGACAGTCCTGCAGAATGTCGTTTTCAATCGAATAGAGTGTCCACAGACACGTGCTTCTGTTAAATGGCATGGTCCAAAAAATGTTTTCTAGATTCTGACATTGATGTTAAGTGGAACACAGTGTACTTGCGTTTTGTTCGCAGGAATATGTTATTTGTGTGTTCATGGAACGCTGCTAAGGGATACACGGAAATCACCGCAACACGATATCCACCCACCCAGTTAAAAATTACTCGAGAATCATGTCAAAAATATGTTGAAACAGTTGCATATGCGAGCATACAATGCAGATATGATGCAAACAATCATTTTATTTATTTACATCAAATGGCATTTGATGGTCATCATTAACCCTATAGTTGACTTCAGGCTTCACAGAGGGGAAGGAACATCAAAGTGAAAAATGTTGAGAGGGGAGGGAACAGAGGAGTGTTGCAAAGAGACAAACACGAAGATAGGAAAAAGGTGAGGTGAGTACTGTGGAAGTAGTCGAATATGACATACAGTGGGGTCATGGTAGATTGAAGTCAGAAGTCAACTGCCAGTTTTTAGACTTATTTGCCTTATGAGTATACGTTGACCAGGGTGCAACACGTGGAGGTAAGTCTATCGTACACCCCGTGATGCAAACATCACAACCGACGGACTACTCCAAATGACAGCATATTGCGAGTAGTTATATTGGGGCACAAATCTTCATTACAAGTGAAGCATGGTTCCAGGGCATAGGGTATGTGAACGTTCAGAGCACTTGCTACTGTTCAAGAGGACACTTTGATGTGGCTCTAAATGGTACAAAAACAGATATTTTGGTGCACATTTTCAGTTCGATGGATTGTAGGCACCATTTTCTTTAATAACACTATGAACTCTAAAGTGTGTAACGGAATTTTTACAACCATTCTTAGCGCACACCTGGCAAAGGAAGAATTAAAGTTTGCACTTTCCAACAAGATGGCGCTACAGTACATACTTTATAATTTTTCAGTGCCATACATCCATGAAGCTCCGGGATAAGGGCGCACAATTTCCGCAGATTAATAGCTTCTCAGACCGCCTAAGGTAATCTAAAGAGCAAGTGTAGATGGAGAATTCACATACAACTGAAGAGTAGGCACGGACATTTGCAACACGATTGAGGAAATCATACAAATTGACGCAAGTTACTCAAAACATGCTGAGTTGTCCTGAGTTCTGTTTCAAATTCTTGTTGAACACTTTCTGCACCTGCTGTGAAGTAGTAAACGCTCAGCTTTTTCTTATGGGTGATAGTCTATATTTACCTCTTTTAAATATTTATATTTATTAAATTTAGCTATCGTTTCAGTTAAAATTCATAAAAAAGTGTTATTTCTAATCAAAGTAATAAAGAAAATATACTGCAACCACGCCCTCATATTCTCCCTCTCTATTATTGATTTTCTAATTGTCTGGGACACATTTTGCCAGCCCACCTCTTAGTCTACTTACTTATTAGAGGCTGTTGTTTCATGTTACCCCTAGAAAGATCGTGAGTTCTGGGGTTGGGGGGTGGGTGAAGGGTTGGGAGGGGGGGGGGGGGGGGGGGAATATCTGACCTAATTTGATGTGTCTATTAAATTAGCTTCATTTGGGGTTAGAGCTATTCTGTTGGCAGGTGAACTACCTCCTTATCGCCAAGACCAAGAAGACGGGATTGGGTGCTGGGTATTAAAATTGGTACTACACACCGCAGTCCATTTAAAGTAAACTGCTTTATAGTATCTATAGCAAATACTTATCTATTTGATGGTTACCATTAGCCCTTCAGTTGACTTCGGACTTCACAGAGAGAGGAGGAGGAACATCAAAGTAACAGAAAGTCAAGGGGTTGGAGAATAGAAGGGTGATTCACAGATGTAAAAGAGCCAGACAGACACCAAGGCAGAGAAAAGTAAGATGAGTACTGTGGTAGGGGTCGAATATGGCATACAATCGAGCCATGGTAGTTTGAAGTGAGAAGTCAACTGCCAGTTAAT